ATGTCGTGCGCGTACACTACAACCAAGTGCATGTCATATCCAGGTTCATGGGGGAAAGATCGGTATGCATGTCGTGCTCCACTGCCTTTTCGTCCCGTCACCTTCTTCGGGACCACCTGGCTTTCGATGCTGCCCAGTGCCAGCTAGCATACTTGATGCATGGCGTTGTCTTGCCTCCCGATCGTGCTGAGGAGCTGCGAGAGGCTGACTTGGCCCAGCACGCAGCGCAGAGGCGCGCAGGACTGGGCAGGTGGCGAGCGGCCTTCCCTGCACATGCCCAATACCCCGTGGACGGACTCTATCCGGCAGCCATGCTTGTAGCCAAAATTTTCTTTGAGAATGAGGCCAGATATTTTCTGCGTGCCAATGCATATGAGATCGGCCCAGATGCATTACCCGCGTACGCTCCCCTCTTTAAGGACCCCCCACCGCCAGCAGAACAGGAGGGCCCTATGTTTGGGGATCGCTACTGCAGATATCGGCCGCAAGACCTCAGTGGGGTGACTGCCGAATGGGTTCCCGTACGCGTGCACAGGACGGAGATATTTGTGCTCAACTTGTTCTCAAACAGGCGGCGCGAAGGCGACGCACAGGCCTGGATTTAACAAGAACACATTCGGCCCGAATATCACATTGCCATGTTGTCCGTGGATATTGCTATCGATTCTGATATGGGAGATCTCATGAGAATTTCGACCATCCAGAACTGGGGAGAGCACATACTTGCACGGAGGGTATGGAACACGGGGGGAGGGCCCCCCTGCGAGACCTGGAGTGCCGCACGATGGCTGGAAGGGGACCCTACCCCCCTACGTACCCATGATTGGGTATGGGGGGGCTGCCCTGGGTATCCGAGCGTCAGGGTTTACAGCTACATGTAGGCAATGCACTACCGCAACGTCTGGTGTTTCTCCTGGGCTGTCACATGGTTGCGGGAACTTCGGGGTGGGTGGAGCATCCCTTGCCGGCCCGTTGGCGGCCAGAAGCCCCTAGCAGCTTCCAGTGGGAACCTCTTGAGGCCTTGGCGTCGTCCCCGATCGTGGTCACCGCCGACTTCGATCAATGTACATTGCAGCCTGTAGATCGGGATCCCTCAGAGTACGGTCGAACCCTCACGCGCTTGCTTGGACTGCGTATGGCATGCTTGCAGCGACGCTTGTGTGATGGCCCACGGAACGGTTGGTGTACACACGGCAAGGGAGAACACAAAATTCTTCAAGGGAAGGAGCTGATCGGGGACCGTGCGGTTTTCAAAACGAACGCTAAGAAAACCTGCCCATCAGAAATGTGTGCACGATTGGCAGCTGCCATTGCGTCTTCCATACACAGCATATACAGTAACACGTGTGCTGATGAGGATGACGAGAGTGCCATCGATGCAGCCGACCTGTTGAATGATCTTCGACGGTTCTATTTGCCTGACATCTGTGATGCACAGACCTTCGAGCCAGTGCCCGACTTTTCAGTGCGCACAGACGAGGCGCCGAGGACAAAAAGAGCTGACCCTGAGACACACCGTTTCAGAACAGATCTCATGGAGGTCACTGCGCAATCCCCGTGTGCTCCGACTCCTGCTCCTACTCCTGCCCCGACACCTGCTTCTGAGTGCCCTAGCCAGAGTCTTATAGTGCATGAGTCCGGACTGGATGAGGAGGCAGAGGTAGAGGATTTTCTGGGATCTCCTCCTGCCGCCTCCCCTCCTCCTCCGCCGCCGCCGCCGCCTCCCCCCCCCCCGCCCCTCTCCCCCGAGCAGATGGCCCCGATCGCGGCCAAGCGCTCCGAGGCGCGCCTCGGGCGCGAGGCCACGAGGGCCGCGACGCACAGGAGGCGAGCGCTCTGGACGGGGGCCCTCTCCTTCGCCTCCTTTTGTCGAGGCGGGCCCCCCGCCGCCGCCTGCGGCCTCCCCAGTACAGAGCAGGAGGCCTAGGCGGGGGCGGCATGACGACGAGAGCTCGCGAACTTCCGCCATGCCTACGTCCCACCGCCTTCCTCCTCCTCCTCCTCCTCCTCCTCCTCCTCCCGCCACCGCCGCCTCCTCCTCCTCCGCCACCGCCGCCTCCTCCTCCTTACTATCACCCTCGCCCCATATCACAATCAACACCATCACCACCAACATCACTACCACCACCACCATCATCATCATCATCATCATCATCATCATCATCATCGTCATCATCATCATCATCATCCTCCTCCTCCTCCTCCTCCTCATCATCATCATCATCATCATCATCATCAGCAGCATCATCGTCATCAGCAGCAGCATCATCATCATCATCATCATCATCATCATCATCATCATCATCATCATCATCATCATCATCATCATCATCATCATCATCATCATCATCATCATCATCATCATCATCATCATCATCATCATCATCATCTCATCATCAATCATCGTCATCATCATCATCAGCAGCATCATCATCATCAGCATCATTATCATCATCATCATCAGCAGCAGCATCATCATCATCATCATCATCAGCATCATCATCATCAGCAGCATCCTCATCATCGTCATGATCATCATCAGCAGCATCAGCATCATCATCCTCATCAGCAGCAGCAGCATCAACATAAATCAGCATCATCAGCATCATCATCATCAGCAGCAGCATCGTCATCATCATCCGCATCAGCATCAGCATCATCATCATCAGCAGCATCATCACAGCTGCAGCAGCAGCATCGTCATCATAATCGTCAGCAACATCAACACCACCACCGCCACCATCACTACCACCACCATCATCATCATCATCAGCATCATCAGCATCATCATCAGCAGCATCATCATCATAATCAGCATCACCATCATGATCATCAGCTGCAGCAGCAGCAGCTTCGTTCTAGATTCAAGCCTTCCCATTGCGATTATCAACCAATGAGCAGGGGCCCTGTAGGGCCCTGGTCACACTCAAATGTACGAGGACAGCCCAAGGAAGCAGTAACGGGACGGCCCGAAGAAATGAGCCCACTCCAAAACTGGAATGCTCCCTGCTTTGACGCTTTCATGACAGGATTTCAGCATCGGGCCTGTCCGAACGTACGCTGCGTGTTTCACGGTCGTCAGATTAGTCGTCCTGCTCATCACGAGCGTGCTCCGTGCATGGTACGAGCATGCAGCCTGTGCGAGCACACGGTATGCGTTGCTCGAGCATCGGGTTTGCACGAACGTAGCGCTCGCATATCATGTAGGCTACAAGAAATACGGTTGGGATCTTTGGCTTAGCGTGTCGCGGCGTCAACCCCAGCGACACGCCATGCCTTCCAAGCTGATAGCGTGTCTCTCCGTTCCGCGAAACGAGGGGCTTGAGAAAGCTCGGGAAGCTGACGCCTGGGGACTGGGGCATGGTTAGCGTGTCGCGCAGAAGAGTGGTGGGTCAGAAAGGCGGCGCGACACACTAAGGAAACCTTTTCTCACTGTAAGGGCGCATGGAGTTGCGCGAGCAGTGGGCCTGAATGCAGAACTCGACGTCCTTGGCCGCGCTCTGCGGAGCCTGACACAACCTGACCCCCATGACTGCGGTCGCGCAGAAGCGAGAGCGCTTGCAAGGAGCCCCTGGAAAGCCCGCAGGGAGCCCTGGGAATCCCAGGAGAGACCAGGAGGCACTTGAGGCCCCAGGACGGCCCAAGCGGCACGACGACGACGACGGGATGACGCCGACGCCGCCGCCGCCCTCTGGGATGAGGGGAGACGTTAGGGATCTCAAGGGGGGGTGGGACATCGAGCCAGAATCGGGGATACATCGCCGATGCAGCGACGATAGGCTCCCGATAGCGGAACCGAATTCCCAGGCGGGGTGGGGCTGTCACGCCCCATATCGGCGATCTACGGGCGATTGGGTGTCGATGCATCTCTCCCTGAGCCTATCCCCCCATAACGTTGTCCCTGAAACGACGACGACGACGACGACGACGACGACGACGACGACGACGACCACAACGACGACGACGACTATCGTGCGAACATGAAATCTGACAGGCTGGTTTGACCTGTCTTGGTTTCTGCCTCTCTCTGATACGCGCCCACTAAGACTATGGACCACCCCTTTCGTGTGGGGCCTGTTTTCACATCAGCACCTGGAAGAGGCATTCAGCAACACACTCTCTGTGCGCAGCGCGCCGCCATGACCGTCATGCGAGCTAACGCGCTGGCGGGGAACTCACCAACTTGAGGCAGTTGCGCGGAGGTCTTGGTGGGGAGTGCTGCTCCTGAGTTTCGGGGACTGCGTCTCAGTATAAGCTGTGAGGAAGTATCACGCGGGAGCCGTTGACGCCACAGCTGGGCTTTCACAAACTTGAATGATTTGCAAGGACGTCTTGAGCCCCAGCGCCGTTCCTGAGTGCGATAGTGCATATGACCAGACGGCGCACGCAAGTAAATTGCGAGGAAGTATCGTGCGATAACCGTTGTCGTCGTTGCTGGGCCTTCACCAACCTGAGTGGATTGCGAGGAAGTCCCGAGTCACAGCGCCATTCCTGAATTGTCGGGCCTCTCTGGCCAGAGCGTCCTGGGGAAATAGCGAAGAAGTATGAAGCGGGAACAGTTGTCGCAGCTAGACCTTCACCAACCTGAATGGATTGCGAAGGAGCTCTCGAGTCACAGCGCCCTTCCTGAATTCTGGGGCCTCTCTGGCCAGGGCGTCCAAGGGTAAATTGCGAAGATATATCAAGCGGCAACCGTTGCCGCAGCTGGGCCTTCACCAACCCGACTGCATTGCGAAGGAGTTCTCGAGCCACAGGGCCGTTCCTGAATTGGAAGGACCTCTCTGGCCAGGGCGTCCTGGGGAAAATTGCGAAGAGGTATCGAGCAGGAGCCGGTGTCGTCGTAGCTGGACCTTCAACAACGGGGATTTGGAACCAAGCCCGCGCTCGAGCGGGAGCGTCTTTCTCAGAGAACATGTACAATAGCCTACGTCAAGGCGAGAGCGCGCAGAACTGTGTTCAATGATCTACAATAACTGTGCTCTAGGAATGAATATGCTTACCTAGGCCTCTAGCGGCGAGGTGAGGCGGGGCGGCGAGGGGTCCTGGACGCTTGGACGCCGGCGCGGCGTGGAGCCCTCGGCGCCCTGCGGCCGCGCCGGGCCGGAGGCGACGACCGCGGCGGCGGCGGCGACGACGGCAGCGGCGGCGACGACGGCGACGGCGACGGCGACGGCGACGGCGACGACGACGGCCCTATGTATATATATATATATATATATACATATATATAGTTGTACATATATATAATTATAAATATACACATAGGGCGTGGATATGAAAACTTAAACCGCCCAGGCCTGTCACCAACCTGTAGCAGGAGGATCTCTAATGGATTTCAATGTGGTTCCGAGAGTTCCTTTTTGGATACCACAAGGATAACAATGGGACGCCACTCGGGGCACAATATGAGTCAAAGAGGACAGGTTTCTGTTGAGTTACACTTGGGTGCTGGTGGGATCCCAATAGTATTCCTTTTATGGATTCGAAAGGAAGGATTCCGAGTGTATTCTAATGCGATATCCTTCGTAATCGGCAAATGGTTCTGATGGAATTACAAGAAAAACTGTTCCCATTTTTTCGAATGAAAACCCGCAAGCATACCCACTGGGTCTCCATATAGTGCCCCCAGCGCGTTTCCCGCAGCATTCCAATAAGAAGGTGTCTCGATTGTAATCCAATGGAATTCCAATAGGTTTCCACTCGGACGGGTCCCGACGGGCTTCAATAGGAAGCATCCCTATCGGATTCCAATAGGACACTCGTAGGCTCCATATCGAGGAACCTTGTTGGATACCAGTGGGATTCATCTGGAGCCAACAGGATCCTAGTGGGAAGGGCGCCAACAGGATTCCTGCTTGATCCCAGTAGACATCCGCCACTTCACAGATTCTCGCTTCAGATGGGTCACTTCACAACCAACACGCTTCAGCGAGCGAAATGTCTCCCTGACGTAGACCCACGAAGGTTTCGGAAATTGAAGAACATGTGTCACTTATGTGCGTTTATTGCTGGTTGTAAATTGCCCCGTCTGGTTGTAAAGTGGCCGTTCCGGTTGCAATGTAACCCGCACGCGTCCTACCCCTGTCGGAGGATGAGGATGCTGCCTAGGGTGGTTTGGTCCAGGGACCGCTCCCGTTTTAGTTGTGTGGTTTTCCCAACGGCGGCACTCGTTCCATCTTCTGGCCTCGCCTCCCGTCCTTCCGTGATCGCAATTGCGCCAGGCCGCCGGCTGCCTGCCTTCTGACAGCACCCCCCTGGCCCCACCAGCACAAAACTCCTCCTCCTCCTCCTCCTCATCCTCCTCCTCCTCCTCCTCCTCCTCCTCCTCCTCCTCCGTGGCCGGCGACCTGCCGCGAACGCTTAGCTGAAAGCCCGCTCTCGCTTTTCGAATCCTCTGGCCTGCGGCTGGGGCAGGAGGGGAGAATTCGTCGCTCTCAGTGTGCTGTGTCTCTTTCTCAGGCCACGGTTCACTTCATGAGATTGCCTACTGCCCGTCGGACCCTTGCTCCGCGGTCGTTCGACCTAAGCTGCTGGCACTCCAACTGGCCCGATATGATGGGACATCGTTGCAATTTGGACTTTCGTCACACTTGCATCCGATTCGCCCATGCTGTCCAGCGCACCCGTTTAAATCAAACAACTGGCTTCGGTTGTTGCATCCTCACGATTCGCGCGAACACTGGCCACTGCGTGCAGGTGACGCTGGCGATGTGCTGCCTGCCTGCACAGAGGCGAGAGCGCCGTTTGGACGGACTTTCGGCCATTGTATCGAGGTTCGGCCAGACAACTAAACCAGGGCTGCGCCCCGAATAGGTCTGGGGGGCAGAGCCCGCTTCTTCCTTGGGCGGCGATGCACCACGCCTTCGGTCCTCCAAGCCGTGCGCCTGACGTGGCCCCAACAGCCCCAACGACGATGACGACGACGATGACGACGAGGCGGAGGGCGTGACGACCACGACGACGATGAAGATCTACACGGGAAGTAAGAAAGCCAGGAGGTCGATGAGGACGACGTGGCGGAAGATGACGCGGGTGCCGAGAAGAACAGACACAGCAAAGAGGAAAAAGAGAATGAGGAAGGGCAGTTGCAATCGCACCTGCCCTCGCCCACACATGTCGAGGTCTGGCGTACGTGTTGCTCCAGAAGGGCCGCCCACGATGAGCTTTGATGAAGCGGCTGCTATACCTGACCAGAACGCATGACTACAACTCTGCCCAATGCCGACGACTTTGAAGGTAGTTCCATCAAGCGGCGCTGGCGGTACTCAATATGCCAATCTGGATTTGGTCTCGCAATCGCAAGGTCCTATTAGTGGATGGAGTTGCCCTCTCGCACGTGCTCGAAATACCTAGGATCCTATACTGTTTCGCCTCCGACTTGGCTTGTGTCAGGATGGCTGACGCGGCAAAACTTTCCGTTACGGTCCTCATGACTGAACTGTCGGCGTGGCAATTGAGCACAGTGTTGTTGTTTTCGTAGTTACATACTGACACTGGGTCTGCGCATTCGTTGTAGCACTGACGAAGAGCTAGCTGTCCTCCTTGCCGAACTGCTACGAGCTCGTCTGCTACAGACCACCGCAAGTGGAAAGGAACACGTTACATAAGAAGTCATGCCTTCAAGCGGGCGGTTCGAAGGACTTTATGGCAGGCCCCTCGTTGCGCGCAGGGCTTCGATCTGCTCAATTATGACAAGGGCCTAGGCCCTCGGCTCTGCCTCTGAAAGCTCTGCTGGACCGTACAGCGTGGACGGTGAAGGGAACGGGCCGCCCTCTACTCTGCCCGTGGACAGCGTGCAGGATGATTATGTGCGCTGAGGACGCGGAAAAGCAGCAGCAGGAGAGGCAGGAGGGCGACGACGTCGAGGACGGGACCGCGGTGCAGCAAGGATGTGTCGTCCGCCCACAGGCCGCTTATGATGTCGTACTGGCCCGATCCGCGCAGTGGCGCGCCGCGTCTCCTTCCGGCGCTGGCAGCCCTTGCGGCCCTCACTGTGGGAGCGCCGCCAGCGCCCGCAGCGACAGGCCTTGGAGGCCTGTCGCAGCCGCGGCCGCCGCGGCCAGCGCCCGCGCTGGCGCCTGCGGGCACGGCAGCGGCAGCGCCGCCCTCGCTACAGTCGTCACCGCCGCAACGCTCTGCGCTGGTGTAGGGCGGGGCGGCGGTAGGCGTGCGAGGGCTCGAAGGCCAGATGGGCTCCGCTGGTGCCGCGGATGGATGCCCTGCCGCCCCGCCACGGCCAGGCGACGTCGGACTCGTTGGCTGTGGGGGCTCCGCCTCCTCCGAGCGCGCCGCTGGGTCCGAGGGCGACGGCGGCACCTCGCGACCTGCTGTGGCGTCCGGCAGGGACGCTGCCGCTGCCACCGCCGCGGCGGCGCGAGCACGACGGCGCTCCTCCCAGCGCAAGTCCCGCACGGAGGGCCCCGCAGCAGGGCCAGCTGCGCCCTCGCCACACTCCTCTCCGGCCGAGGCGCTGGCAGCGCTTGCAGGCGGATCCAGCAAAAGGGGCCCGGGGCCGAGGCGCGGGGTGGGCGGCGCCTGCCGTGGCGCTGGCGCCGCCGATGAAGGGCGCCGCCGGCGCACGCGGACGACGCGAATCTCGGCGCTGGCCGCACGGTCAGCGGAGCCACTGCCGGCGCCTGGCGCTGCTGCTGGCACTGGCGGCACCCCAGTCGGCCGCCCAGCGGCTGCCGGCGCGAGGGCCGCGGCGTGCCTTCTTGCCGCCGCGTGGGTCTGTGGGCGCGGCAGCCGCCCGAGCTGCCCCAGCCTCCGCACCAGCTCCTCGGCGCGGGGCCGCTGTCGCGGCTCCTGCGCGAGCATGCTGGCCACCAGGGAGCCGAACTCTGGCGGCCGCGTGCGAGGCAGTGACGGGTAGACGCCGCGCAGCACGGCGGCCACGATGCCCTGGAGGCCCGAGCCAGAAAAAGGGTGCCTTAGGGATAAGAGCTCGTACAGCATCACACCCAGGGACCACACGTCGGTTGGCTGTGAGTATGGCTGGCCTTGAATGAGCTCTGGGGACAAGTAGAGCGGCGTTCCATAAAAAGAGTTCAGGCAGACCGTCTGCGCCGACATCTGCCGCGACACACCGAAGTCTCCGAGCTTGGCTACCCCTGAAGTAAAGAGCATCACGTTGAGGCTCTTCACGTCCCTGTGAACGATGCCGCGCGCATGTATATGCTCCACAGCTAGGAGAACATCCGAGAAGATGTCCCACACCCTGTTATCGTCGAGGTACTCACATCTGGTTAGAAGGAACAAAAAACGCATAAACATTAATATTCGGGGGTCCGTGTGGATTTTTGGGATCGGCACTGGACCCTCCTGCCTAGCGCGCGGAGAGCGCCGGTAACGGCGCCAGAAGCGCCGACAAGGGGACCCCAGCGCCGATACAAAAAATCTGCGCGGACCTCCGAAAGTTTATGTCTATGCCTTTGTTTCTCCTTCGACTGGCGGCGCGCTCCTGGAGCTCCGTGTGCAGGTCTCCCCCGTCCGCGTACTCCAGGACGATGTACGCGGACGCCGTGTCTGGCTCCCAGAAGTAGCCGAGGCACTGGACGACGCTCGGAGGCACAAACAACGGCATCAACATACTGCAACCTGAGCTGAGGCGTCGCCTCGCCAGACTAGCTGTCGAGGAGGAGCCTCGAATCTCCGACGATCTGATGGTGTCACTCCGGGAAGACCGACCAGCCACAACTGGGGGAGCTGTGGTCCTTACCCCCCTGGGGGAACCCATCGCGTCGACGATCTCTCGAGAGGGGTGTCGAAATCGATGGGTCCCCCAGGGGGGTAAGGACCACAGCTCCCCCAGTTGTGGCTGGCCTGGAAGATGTCTTCGATTATTTGACCATGGGGCCCGTGATCACGCCCCCGGGCCATCAAGATGGATCCGGGACGGGAATCTAGCCTCAGGGAAAGGGTTTGGGGACCTTTCTGGGGCCGCGGATCTTTCGTTAGGCGAAAAACATCGGCAGGTGTCAGGGGAGGGGGGTAGGGCGCCAAGGACTTTTCTCAGTCGTCGGAAATCGGGGATGGAGGATAAGGCGTCTGGCACGTTCCAATGCCGATTCTTTCCTGATTAGTCCGATCGATTGGACCTTGAATCGACTTTGGCCTGCACGATTCGATTCGATTCCGATGTTCCGACATAGCGCTGTTGGACCTTTGGAGCCGCGCACGTTTGTTTGTTTTGAATTTGGCTGTGGACTATTATTCCCTACCTAGGCTCTGCCTAGAAGGGTTCTTACTCTCTTAGCTTAAAGGGGCCGGGCAGTGCAAAGCGCCCCGGGCGGTTCCCCCAGTCCCCTGGGAGCGGTTCCCCCAGTCCCCTGGGAGCTTTAGCTTTAGCTTTAGTTTTAGCTTTAGCTTTAGCTTTAGCTTTAGCTTGGCTTTAGCTTAGCTTTAGCTTAACTGTAGCTTAGTTTTAGCTTATAGTTAGCTTAGCTTTAGCTTAGCTTTAGCTTAGCTTTAGCTGAGATTCAGCTTAGCTATAGATTAGCTTTAGCTTGCTTTAGATTAGCTTTATCGTAGCTTAAACTTAGCTCTAGCTTAGATGTAGATTAGCTTTAGCTTAGCGTTAGCTTAGCTTTAGCGTAGCTTTAACATAGATTTAGCTTAGCTTTAGCTTATATCCGCCGATCCGGCGTGTGAGTTTCAAGGAGTCTCAGCTACAGCCTCGAGGCTGAGCTTCAGCCTCTGGGGGGGTCGCCGGGGTGGCTCTGCCGGGGAAGGGGGGGTGGGGGGGGGGGGGGGGGTGCGAGTTTCCGGCGAACCCCGGGGCCGCTCCGGGGGAGTGGAAGATAGGGGGGGGGGGGGCGCCATGCTCCGCTTTTTCCGGCGCTTTGGAGGAGGGGGGGGGCCCAAGAGACCCCCAAGGGGTTCCAAGAGGGCCCCGAGTCGCCGAAAAATCGCTCCAAGACGCCCGAGATGGCCTCCAGACGGCCCAAGGTGTCTCCAAGACGCCCCAAGAAGCTTCCAAGAGGCCTCCCAAGAGGGCCCCAAGAGGCCAGAATCGTTGATTTTCATTGGTTTTCTCAGGGTTTTTAGCGTTCTTGCCTTTTCGGGCGTCCGACGCTCGAAGACGGCCCAAGAGGCCCCCAAGTCCGTCCCAAGACGGCCCACGATGCTTCCAACACGGCCCAAGAGAGCCCCAAGACGGCCCAAGAGGGCCCCAAGACGGCCCAAGAGGGCCTCTGGACAGCCCAAGAAGGCCCCAAGAGAGCCCCAAGAGGGGCCCAAGAGGGGGACCACGAACCGAAAGAACCGAGCTTTCCGCCCCAAGAGGCCCCCAGGAGGCCCCAAGAGACCCCCAAGGGGCCCCAAGAAGCCCACAAGAGGCCCAAAAGAGGTTCCAAGAGGCCCCAAAACAGCTCCCCAGAGGCCTCCAGACTGCCTCCGGCAGGCCCCCGGTTTCTTCCGCGGCACCGCCCAGGGCGCCACCGGCAGGATGTCCTCCGTCTCATCGTTTTCCTTCAAGTTATCGCCTCTTCCTCATTCTCCTCCTCCTCCTCTGCGACCTCACTCCTATCCCTCAACGATCGCGTCACCGAGTGCCTCTTCTTTGAAACATCCTCGCTCTTCAAACGCACATCCATACACACATGCATACATACCTACATTTAAACACATTTGCATACATAGAAAAACAATCTTCCAGACATACATACTTACATTCACACACATACACACATATTATCATACACACATACAAACATACATACAAACTAAATACATACATACGCGCACAAGCATACATACATACATACGTACCTACACACAGGCACACATGATCAATGCATGCATACATGCATGCACGCGTACATACACACACATATATCGTGAAACTCACCGCGTGCTCGAAACTTGAGAGAGACCGCGGGAAGTCGAGAGAAGCCGCGGAACGAGGCCTCTACTACTACTACCACTACTACCACAACCACTACTACTACTACTACTACCACTACTACTACTACTACTACTACTACTACTACTGCTACTACTACTACTACTACTACTACTACTAATACTACTACTAGTACTACAGGAGCGTTTCCCAACTAGTATGTGTGTGTGGGTGATGCTGTGTGCGCATGTCTGCGGCGCAGGTTAAGTGGTGTGACTGTGTGTGTGCGTTTGAGTGTGCGCCCATAATTTCTGCGTCTGGAGAATAACCCCGAGCGACCCGGATCGGCGGCACTGGCCGAAGGCCACTACAATATAGCTTAGTTTTATATTAGATGCCGCTTAGCTTTCGCTTAGCTTTAGCTTAGCTTTAGCTTAGCTTTACCGTATAGTTAGCTTAGCTTTAGCTTAGCTTTAGCTTCGCTTTAGCTTAACTTTAGCTTAGTTTTAGCTTAGCTCCAGCTTAGTTCTACTTAGCTTTAGCTTAGCTTTAGCTTAGCTGTATCTTAGATTTAGCTTAGCTTTAGCTTAGCTTTAGCTTAGCTTTAACTTAACTTTAGCTTAGCTTTGTCTTAGCTTCAGCTTAGCGTTAGCTTAGCTTTAGCTTAGCTTTAGCTTAGCTTTAGCTTAGAATCAACTTAACTTTAGCCTAGCTTTACTGTTACTACTAATGCTGCTTTCCTAGGGGCTCCAACTCCTAGGTAGGGTCACACTGGGATAATTCAATGATTCGCATTATTATAATGATTATGTTTTTAATGTATATATATATATATAAAAATATGTTTTTATATATATATATAATAAAAAAAAAAAAAAAAAAAAAAAAAAAAAAAAAAAAAAAAAAAAAAAAAAAAAAAAAAAAAAAAAAAAAAAAAAAAAAAAAAAAAAAAACACACAAAAAACGTCAGCTGCCTGGGGTTCCAGGTCCCCAGGCGTGCAGATCCGCGCGGAGCTCCGAAAGCTTGTGTTCGTGCCGCTCTTTCTCCCTCGAGATATTGGGGTGCTGCAGCTGCTTCAGCACCTCGTACTCGCTCAGCATGTCCTTGGGCGTCGCTCATCAAGGGGGGGGGGTACGATGCATGGAGAAGAACGCAACTTCTCGGGCCTTAGAGGCCTCCTTTGGGGCCCCAGAAGACCTCTTCGGGGGCCCGCAAGGGCCCCTTTTCTGCAGCCCTCGCTGCCCCCCGCATGCACCGCCCCCCCATTACGCGACGCCCAGTGTTCGGAAGTCCCCCAGACTTCCGAGAAGTTTTATGAGCCTCTGCCGAAGACGCAGAAAACCTCTCGGAAGGCCGGAGAAGTCCCGCCGCCTCCTGAGAGGGCCTTCTCCCTCTCCTTCTGCCTTCCCCTTCTCGCTCGCCCCCGCATGTCCTTCGCCTCCCCGAGCTCCGGAAACCGCCGCTGCTTCAGCACCACCCGTGCCGGGCGACCCTGGCGCGGGCCGCGCACCTGCGCCAGGTAGACGGCGCCGGTGCCGGGGCCGCGGTCGCTCGGCCGACCCCCGGGGGCCAGGGGAGGGCCCAGGGACAACTCGGCGGCGCGCCCAGTGGGCTGGCATCCCAAGCCCCCTCGAGTCAGCAAACAATCACGGCGGGAGCTCGTTCGCTCTGTTCGGCCCCTGGGCCCTTCCCGGGCCGTCAAAGAAGGGCTCAGGATGAAGAAGCGGTCCCGGGGAAGGGGTCCAGACCTATGGAGGTCGACGCTGTGAAAAAATCACGACGTCGGGGGGCTGGCCTTCTCAAAGCCTCAGAGAGCCTCACGCCCTCTGAGAGGCTTCTGAGGAGGCATGAGGGCGTCTGAGAATTCCCGCAGCCTTCTGGGAAGGCCTGCCCTCTCTCGCTTCCCCCCTCGGCGCGCCGCCGAAAAAAACACACAGGCCCTCCCCAAGCCCAAGCAACAACAACAAAATAAACAGTCAGATATGAACCGGCATGATTCATGATCGGTCAGATCGTTGCCGTCTCGGCTACTCGCTCGCTGGGAGCGGGTGTGCTTGAACGGCTCCTGGCTAACCCCACGGCCTTGGATGAGAGAACCCCAGAGAACCCAGAATCGAATCGATAAGTCGGATCGGCGATCGAAATGAATCGGATCGGCGGAAATCGGCAGTAGGGGAAGTCGAATCGGCGGAGACTGACAGGCTAGTAAAGCCCCCATTGAGAAACCGAAGCCCGAATCGGAATCCGAGGTCGAATCGAATCGGCAAGGGAATCAATCGGAATCGAATCGAAGTGAGAGTCGGAGGAGTCGAAACGAGCCCTGGAACCCTGGCTTCAGAAGCTCATGATTGGCCCACGCCTGCCCGCCCCACAGGCACGGGGCGAGGCCCGAGAAGCTGGCAGGGGGCAGCCCGAGATCGCAGACCCGCAGCCCAAACGCCCGCACCCAGGGGCGCGGTAGCCCCGAGCGCAAACCGACCGTAGACCTTGCGTCCCGCGACCCAGAGAGACAGAGCCGGCACCGCGGCTTACCCCACGGCGAACCCACCGCGTCCGAGGTGGAGTTCGCCCTGGTGGCCGCGGTGCCCTCCCCTAGGCGAAAGGCCACGCGTCGGAACGAACGGCGCGGCGACGGGCCATGGCTGCATCAGAAGAGAGAGCAGCATAAACACAAACTTTCGGAGGTCCACGCGGTTTCTTGGATCGTCGTCGTCGTGGGCTCTGGCTGCGTCCAAGGCCGCGGACGCGGGCGGGGCCAAACGACCGCGGCGCGATGGAGCGGTGCAGCTCCCGCAGTGCCCCGAAGTGCGCGCGGCTCGAGAAGTCTCCGACGCAGCCGGGGCGCCCCTTCAGCTCTGGCACCGCGCCCAGGCTCTCCATGTGGACAGAGTTGTGCGGCAGCTCGCGGGAGCCCCCCATGTCATCTTGCTGACTCTTACGAACCGACGCTACGAGTCGACCCTAATGGACGCTAAATCGACGACAATGGACGCCAGATCCGAGCTTTTTTCATGGTTTACCAGACGCTTGCTCATGCTAGTGCGCTCGACAGACTAAACTCCGAGGACATGCGGAGCCCCCATGGTTTGCTACTGAAGCTTAGCTGCCCCGATACGCAACACGCAACCCGTAGCGTGCTGACACGGAGCTTAAAATGGATATTCAAAACGCAGGTATGGCGCAGTGCGTTCGCCAAGACGTGGGCCAACACGGGCCAAACCAACACGCAGCGTGTGAACACAGACGTTTTGAACACGACACGTGTTGCGTTTCAGCACGGGCGTACCAGAGCAGCTACGGAGGGCGCGCACGGGCGGACGAGCGAGGGACGCGGGGCACCGCGAGCCCCCGAGCGCCCACGGCCGAGCTGCGCCCAGCCCGCGGGCGGCGGCCGCCCGCCCCGCGGGCGTCGGCGCGGCGGCGGCACGGTGGCGGTCGCCGCCGAGACGCGCGCGGCCGCGCGCCGAGGCGGCCAGGGCGGGAAGGGGAGAGGGGGCGGGATGAGGGCGCGGGGAGGGAGGAGAGAGAGAACGAGAGAGAGGGGAAGCATGGGGAAGGGGAGGGGGATATTCAACATCCACCGCAACGCAGCCCACATACACTCAGAGAGGTTGGCGAGGCCCAAAAGGGAAAATTGGAGGCGATTCCAAATCTGCTGAAAACGGCTAGGAAACAAAACTTTAAAACAAGGGTGCTGGCCAGCGTGGACCCCGAGCACTGTGTTCTAGCATACTATGTGGTACCACCTACGCGGGGCAACCTACGTGGTGCAAGTTATGTGGTGCCATCTGTGTAGTGAAACATACGAGGTGCGATCTACGTGGTGCATTTCATATGGTGCAATCTGCGTGGTGCAATACATTTGCTATTGATTGCAAAGAGTTTGGAGCAAATCTCGCGCAATCACCCCACCCACCCACCCGCAACTTGGTTTGCAACACCCATACGGCGGCGATTGCGATGACTGCTTGGCGCTGGCTGGCGCATCGGTGCGGCCGCACCAGCGCCCGCAAGCTCGCGCGCACAGCGCCCAGCTAGTTTGGCGCGACCAACGCGGCAGCGGTGGCGCTGACCACCGGGGCACCCCCAGCGCGTCTCGCAGGCCGCGCTGACGCGCGGGCACTTCAGTGCGAGTCGGTGACTTTGGCGGGCGCAGTACCATTGTGACGTCAAGAACGGCGGACACGATGATGATAGTAGCGAAGAGGGTGACGATGATGACCATGACGATGGTGAGGCCAATGACGGCGCCGATGCTGGTCACGCCGATGGCGATGATGGTGTGTACGTGCCGGCGATGCAAATGTTAGAAAGATTCCGACACGGATGCCGCATTAAAACATTTGACACGGATCGTGCCCCGAACGGGCGACGCGACACACGCAAAGAAACCATGTATTGTTCGCGATAACGCCCGTGACCGGTCCTGCACCCCCCCCTCCCCCGCCCCCTTGATCACGTCACGATTCGGGCCGGCGCCGCCTGGGAAGTAGCCATTCTTACACACTCCCAGACGGCACCGGCGCGAATCGTGACGTGATTGGCCCTCTCCCTCCCTCTCCCCATCCGCCTGATGACTCCCGTTATCGCCAGGGGATAACCACAGTGCGCTCTCGAACGCTGGCCATATGAATCGTACCGTGGCAGCTCGACCACCAGCCGTGGGGCGACCTGGACGCCTCTGCAGCGATGCTCGAGGCCACCACCAAACGAGTGGGAGAAGGCAGAGGCCGAGTTGGGGACAATCTGCTGAGACACGCGCCACCTGCTGCCATTACTCCCGCAGGCTCGGCGTCCTGTAAATCCGCCGACCCTGTCGGCGTTTGTGAGGGGCTTTTCCGTTCGACTCGTCGTCTCCGTCGTCTCCGTTCTCCCCCTCCCAAGGCTCTCCTCCTCAAGCGCGCTATCCAAAGCGAAATTAAACGACGTCGTAGTGGAGTCGAAGGGAAGCCCCTTCCCTTTGATCCCTTCCCCGCAGGGGGGGGGGAGGGGGGGGGGCCCGGGGCAGATACGACGCCCGCCGGGGCGCACTTTCCTCGAGCGGGCACGCACGGGATGCACTTCCTCCTCCTCCTCCTCCTGGTCCTCCTCCTCCTCCTTTTCCTCCTCCTCCTCCTCCTGCTCCTCCTCCTCCTCTTCCTCCTCCTCCTCCTCCTCCTCCTCCTCCTCCTCCTCCTCCTCCTCCTCCTCCTCCTCCTTCCGCAGAGGCGTCCCGGGAGCGGGCCCCGAGTCAAAATGCCGCCCCCCTAGGGCGCATTTTCCTCGAGCGGGCACGCCCGAGATGCACTTCTTCCTCTTCCGGAAGCACGTCCCAAGTCAGAATATCACACTCCCGGAGCGCACTTTCTTCGAGCGGGCACACAAAGGATGCACTTCCTCCTCCTCCCCCTCCTCCTCCTCCTCTTCCTCCTCCTCCTTCTTCTCCTCCTCCTCCTCCTCCTCATCCTCCTCCTCCTGCTCCTCCTCCTCCTCCTCCTCCTCCTCATCCTCCGCTTCCTCCCCCCACTCCTAGCCCTTTCGATCAGGGTCGGCGGCACCGGCCGTCAGGCCTCTCCAATAGTTGTCGCCGCTCACCTTGCATTCCTTGTTTTCCATGGCAGCGTGTGCGAATACTGCTACACTGCTGGTCTTAGCGATCGGCGAGAGTGCACAGATTCAATGAGCCTCCGACCTAGGACGGGGAGGGAGGGGGAGGAGGGAGGGGTGGGAGGAGGAAGTGGAGAGGATGAAGAGAAGAGGAAGTCCCCTAATCCAACCCAAACGATCCTTCTTATTCGTCTCCCCTCATGACTCCTCGTTCCTGCGACTGGGAAGGATGACAACGAGAGAGAGAAGGACGGGAAGAAGATGATTCGAGCCGACATGGCTGCGAAGCTGGGCAACCCAGAGAGCCCACCATGCCCCTCACAGAAGGAGCGTGACAGGGTGAAGGCCGCGGGGTCAGGGGAAAAACTGAGAGGAGGAGGAGGAGGAGGAGGAGGAGGAGGAGGAGGAGGACAAGCAAGATCAGCAGGAGCAGGAGCAGGAGCAGGAGGAGCAGGAGCAGGAGGAGGAGGAGCTCCCCGTAGATCAACAGACGCGTGAGGAGTCAGGCAGGGTGGGGCGGCCGCGTGCCAGGCGCGCCCGCGGGACCAGCAGGTTCGGGCCCTCGCGCGCGACACGAAACTCGCGCGAAGGGCGTGCACGTGACGCGCGCGGCGCAGGGGCGCGGCCGCCTGGGCTGCAGCTGGGAGGGCCCAGCGGGCCGCGGGCGAGCGCGGCCGCGGCAGAGCGGGAGGAGGAGGAGGAGGAGGAGGAGGAGGAGGAGGAGGAGGAGGAGGAGGAGGAGGAGGAGGAGGGGGAGGAGGACAAGCTAGGTGCGCTCGCGTCAACATCTGACATCCTACCCCTCCCTCCCATCCCTTCCCATTGAGCTACTTCATTGTCCTCTCACCGAATCGGGCTTCGCATCTGACCCTGTTACCTAAGAGGGAAAGGAGGAGGACGACGGCGCGATGAAAACGAAGACGACGACGACGAAGACGACGACGACGACGAAACCACGACGACG